TTGAATTCATGCATAAAAGACTGGAGCTCATTCAGGCGAAGCGCACTTGAAATCTTGAACCTTTGCTTTGGTTGAATACTTTTTCAACAACCTCGTTTTCCTTCCATTACACATCTGAAAAACTTGCATTATCACGAAATCGGTAAGCGCAGGTGCGGGATTCCTATTTAAGGCTATTTTCAGAAAAATGATTCATGGACAGGAGTTCTAAGCTATTTGGCTGACAACATAACTGACAGTGCCTGCTTGTTCTATCAAAGGACAGATTTGCGAGAGCAGTACTTCGAGTTATCATATCCGGTAACAAATGTAAGCATGTTTACAGCGAATCAAGAAACAATGTCTAAAATGTCTACTTCTCAAATATTATAGTTATGTACACTATGCCCTATATACCACTAAATTTAAAATTTTTGAAGTTTACGCTACATTTTCGAATGACTAGAAAATTTGAGTAATTATTGACCACTTCTTCGTTGTCTTGAAGTGCAATCATCAAAAACTCAAACCATCTATATTTGGTTTACAAAATGCTGCTTCGCTATTCCCTTAGCACTAACTACTTTATTCTTCTAACTTCTTTTATAATCCTTCAGTAGCATTAGACCGCTATTGCAATTTTTTTGAGTTTTGAGTTTTCAAAACTGCTTTGTTTGTTTTTAACGCAAAGAAAGCAAAGATTGTTACAGGTGCAACCAGTTTATGTGGTCAGAAGGCAAAAGACTACGATTGGTTCCGTATTGTGGAATGCTTTCAAACCATATTCTTATACAACATGGCTAGGCATACTAGGTAAGGGTAAACTTTTGCGATTAACTCGTAGAGTATGTTAACAAGCCAAATGTCGTGTCGCTGCACTATTTGCTACGACACCTTTCCGCACGACGTTATATTATAATAGATCTAATTGCTCAAAGCCACACTTTCCCTATCCACCCTATTTTACATTCCATCTTTTTTCGACCACCATCTATTTCTAGTCATCATAAAGGGAAAAGCTGCCACTATTAACACGCCCTTTC